AGTCTTCAGCTTGATTTTCTTAGGAAGTACGCATGAGGAATGAAGACTTTTTTTTCAGACAGCTGCACTGATTCCATTCTCCACCACATAAAAAAAGCAATTCATTTGAGCTACTGCTGTCTGTCATTGTGTTCCATTTTTTCTTTCTTATCACCTTGCTAAAACTTGAAGGAAGCAGAAAGTTCACCAATGTCGTTTCAGCTGGCAGCTGAAACTCTTTCTCAGTTTTTTAATGGAAGCAAAAATAGCTCCCAAGATCGAGCACTAGGTGTCCTGAGGCTTTCTTGGTTAGTAAATGGAGATGACAAGACTGGAATGTATTCAATCTGTTGCTGTCTCCTGGGCATCATTTATAGATTCTCTGTCAACCCACAAGATCCTCTATTACTATGAACAGTGTAATTAGTTTAAAATTAAAGTTAATCACAAATCTATAAAAGGAGCTTCCAAATATTGACAATGATTAAGAAAGTGAAATTACCATATATAGCTAATTAATTCGTGGTTAGAAAATTGTGAAAGGAAATGAATTCTTAAAGCTCCTTATAATCCTGGTAGCAGAAATTGCTCTTTCTTACTCCCAGACTCAGCAATTATTTGTGTATCTCTGATATCCTGAAGGAGGTGATTAGGACAAAATATAAAAATAGTGTTTTCTGTCTACTCCAGTTCTCTTCTAAAAAGCGTGTTAGTGCACCACTTTCCTATGCAAAACATCAGTTGTCTCCATGTATTCCAAGTCAGCATTCCACAGTACAGTCACCCTCCTGGGGCTGCAGAGAACACCTCAGAAAGGAAGGCTAGCCAAATATGAAGTGTTTGTCATAAGAAAAAGGTAGAAGAAAAAAAGAAATATTATTTTTCTAACATTTTCTTCTCTTTTCTACAGACATTGCTCACATTTTACCCTTACAAAATGTATGCCAACTTGCAAAAAGGAATCTTCACATCTCTTAAATTGTCATTATTTGCTTATTTATATTATCCTCCTGTTAGAGATTGACGCCTTACTGTTTCAGACATTGTCCAAACAGGGAGCAAAATGCTGGTTCTTGCCTCGAAGGACTTGGAATACCCCAAAAGGATATAGGCAGATTAAAGAACACAAGAAAGCAATGACACAGTAAGGATGAATGGCAACATTGGCAGTACATCTGCAGCACTGTGTTTTGTGGGTTTGTTTTTTCTAGTGGGTAGGAAAAAATAAGCAAATTTCAAATACATAATGCTGAGCACAAATTAAGTGTGATAAGGAAGCAGTATTATGGATTTTTATGGGAAAGTTTTGGCCTCATGTAATGAGCAGTATGGGGAAAAAACAGTAAAATGTTTATTTCAAAATGTAGCAACTATGAGGTAAAGATATATAATGGACCAGCCTGGATGAGATATGATCTACCTAACTGCATGGCTCATATCAATAGGGTGGTATCAAACTATGAGAAGTACTGAGAGTAAAGACAGATTACTCAGGCTTGATCTTATAGATTGAAGAGAGCTTTTAAAAAAGAGGAGGCATCAGTATATTCCTGGGCAAACTGTCCCTTCTCTGACAGAAAGGGTGCTAAGTACCAAAGGCTGCCAATGGACTATGGTGTTTTTGTATTGTCTTCCTTCGATTCATGAAGGGATCATGGAGAAATCTGACAAAAAAGCATTCCTACCTTTTTCTGATTGTGTGTGTGTATACACACGTGTCTTTTTGCGCTTGGGCATGGCTGGAGTGTTTCTATTGGTGTGGTTTTTGTTTCTAACAGAGAAGTCTCTATATCCAGAACAGCTGTAATACATGGAGAATTCAGGGTACCGAATATTTCAGCAGTATCAGTCAAGAAAATAAAGGAGCGTTGTGGAGATAGAACTGGTTGGACATCAGCTTCAGACCTTGGGATGATAGCAAACCTGTTCATATAAGGTTATGCTTCGAGAATGTTCTCAGTTTTCTTCCCTGATTGGTTGTCGTTTGCCGCATTATTTTTAATATCCCTAATCTCAGTCTGTTACTGGAACCCTGCCTTCAGATCTGCCCTTAAATTTCTGTATGTAACTGCTGCATTCACATTTTTCGTGGCTTTTGGGGTTGACCCCATACTCTGTGTTTGCCTTTTGCAGTTTGTTATTTTGCAATTAAAGCAGTTTTACTTTTTGGGCCACGCAATCATGCCCATCCTGTTATTGGGCACACCACTCCCAGCTGGCCCGGGGTGGCAAAGCCGAAACACGACAGCTGGCTCCTGCACAGGGACTTGATAATCAAGGTCTCCCGTGCCAGGCTTGGTCAGCAAGGAGAGCTGCACCAGTAGGACATTCCTTTCTGCGGGTGTATTTTTTTGGATAAATGCCAGGCCTGGCCAGATTTTTCAGTGTTCGGGTGGCCCTCGGAGAAGCAACCAGCCAGCCCGGGAACCCTTCGGGAACAGCAGGTAAGCGGAAAGGGGACATCGACTCATCATCCTACCCTAACTGGGGGCGCATATCTCACCCCAATCCAAGTTTCAAGATGGGCTCCAGAATTTCAACTGTAGAATGGGATGTCTATGAACGTTTTAAGTTAATTCTATCAGCTCACGGGAAGGAAGTGGGGAAGCAAGAGCTAAAATTCTCTGTCGCTCTGTCGCAATTTTCTCAGCAGCATGGGAAGCAGTGCGATGCTAGAAACATTGAAACTCGACAAGTGCCGCCACCCTGTCCACCACCACCACCACCACCATAGTCCCAGGGCTGCAGAGCAGGCAGCAGCCAGGCCGGAGCTGGACATGCCTGCGGCTTCTCTTCCCACCTCGCGCCGCTATCCCAGCTTCACGAGCATTTCCTGACTTGAGGCTGTTATAAACGGAGACTGACGCTTTCTGGAAAGTGTATTCTTGTTTATTAACCAAAACAATCACTAATTGAGGACAGGGTCCCAGGATAAGCCCAGAGCCCACTTGATAAACCAGTTAACTTACAACAATTAACAGCTCGCACAGAGATGACACGGCTGGGTGTTCCTCGGGAGTTTGGCTCATTCGGAAGACCGTGACTCTTCATCCTTACCCCTTTTTATAAGTTTGATTGGTACACTTCGGATTTCTCATTCGATTGGTTAAATCTGGGCTCTCCTATTGGTCCATATCACAGAGCATGGTACACCAATCATCTGTCTCAGTGCTTTTCATTGGTGGGATTTTCTTCCAATCATAGTCCATTACATTGTCTTTGTTATAGTATTTAATTCCAGAAAGTTCCCAAACTCTGCTCTCCATACCTCCCTTATGACTAAAACCCTTCATTTACAGCATTCCAGTACAATCCCTATGTAACTTATATAAGCTTCATGAACTAATAACTCACGAAAAAAGATATTAGAATATTCATAACAAGACT